GAATAAAGGAAAAATTTAATGCATAAAGAAACAACATATAATTTTTTTGAAAAACATGATGCAACATTTTATAAGCTGCATACATCACAATAAAAAGCTGGGGACACAGATTCAGTTATTTAGATTAAAATCATTTATTACAAGCAGGTTCTTTTTTCCCATATTAAAAAAAAAAAACATGATTGAAAACATTCAGAGAATAGAAACGGAGTTAAACCTATTCCCAAGTCCATTATCAATAAGGTCTCAATAAAGAAAAAGATACTTTGGAACTTAAAATTAGGGAAGTCTATTATATACCATTTAGACGGCGGAAAAGGAAAAAAAAAAACATCAAAATGATCCTTAACATTTTACAGTCTTTAATTAAGCACATAAAACTGTACTACTTAATATATTTCTCCATGAATTTTTTGTGAAATTCAGATCGAAGTGTATCGTTTACAAATCTTTTGTCTTTCTTTTGATCATCTACACCTTTTGCGCAGTTCTTGAACACAACATCGTCATCCCACCTGAAAGGAAAAATGAAAATAAAATGCCTTATAATGTTTTTATTAGGAGACAAGAATACCATGTGCATTGTAAAGCTTAGTCATTACACAGAAAGATGTTCAACATGCACATCATTTGATACAACAAAAGAATAAAGTAATACTTAATTCATAAGTCCTGCAATCCCAGTGGCTCGGGAGGCTGAGACAGGAGAACAGTGAGTTTAAAGCCAGCCTCAGCAAAAGCGAGATGCTAAGCAACTCAGCAAGATCCTGTCTCTAAATAAAATATAAAATAGGGCTGGGGATGTGGCTCAGTGCCCCCAAGTTTAATCCTTGGTACCAAATACAAAACAAACACACAAAAAACCAACCTGGTTTCATATCTTTTCTATGTTAGCCATGAATATAATTATAAGCTAAGTCCCCTGAATCCTTCTAGTGAATATCGGAATGTGAAGAGCAGTCTTGGGGACCAAGGATACACGTACCTAATATACATAAGCTTTGTAAGGTTCCTAAGACTGCTTAGTTCATTACTCTTACCCTAGTGTTTAGATCATTATTCGATATGTAGCTGGTTATAAATATCTGCTGAAAATTTTATTTTCTTTCTTTTATTACTCGAAAATTAGAGAGAGAAAAATATCAGCGGAAGGCGGAGTTTTAGAAGCATTACATAATATACTTTGCTATCCAACTCATAATCTGTATATAGAATTCTAACCCATTACTTATAGTACCTTCTTTTAACTTTGAAGTTGGCCTGAGGCTGGGAAGGGCCAGTGAGATTAAGAAGAGGGTTTCCACTCAGAATGTTCTCCATACGAATTCTCTCTTCTTCAGCTTTTTGTTCTTGTTCCTGGCAATGAAAGAGGAAGATGCAATTTTCTTATATTAGCTCATTAAAGAAAAAAAGAGAGAGACTGTTAGCATTGTTTAAAGAGGAAAGATATGCATCAAGGTAGTTTTCTTTCTATTTTGATTCTTAAGATAACAGAAAAGCTCATGAAAAAAAACCAATCTGGCATCTTTATTATAAATATTTCATACTTGCTATCATATAGTCATAAGTATCTCCCAATTCTGAAAAGCTTTGTGATGCATATTTAAGTCTGTTTTCTTTTGAAGAACATATAAAACGAATTACTTTAAATTTTGTTTTACATTTATAATTTAAGAACATTTTAAACATAAAAAAGACATTTAGCAAAGCTATTTAAAGGGCCACAGACAAACTGATAAAAATACTTCCATTTTAAATTACTAACAATGTAAGCTTACATCTCTAGGATTAATGATAAAATTATTATTAATATCTAAGGAGTAACTCCTAAAATAAGACAAACAACCATATACAACATTCCTGAAGTGTATCCACTTTGTTTTTAGGATTTATTGTCATCCACTTTCTATTTTTATACCTCTTATCATTCACTAGTTATAACATTGTTTTCATTTTATTTTAGCTTCAAACTCAAATCACCTGCAGTTTCATTTTCAGAACCAGGAACATAAAGTGTCCAAATCTTTAGCTGCAACTTCTAGATTTGCCTGAAACATATTATCTTAAACCAAATAAAAATCCCATTTTGTTGTATTTTGAGGATGACAGAAATTGTTAACTTAGTAGATCAAGGGAAAAAAACAATTGCTCAGAAGTTACTTTAAAATTAATCCAATTTTCCATACATGTTACTGATTGTTCATTTTAATATGCAAATATAAACAATGCATTTCATTTTTATCAGGACAAATAACTGGCAGGTGAGATTTTTAGGAAAATAAACAGAAAAACTGCTTTGGACCAGATCTTAAGCAAGTCAGGAACCATCCCCTGGAAGATTAGAACATAAATAGCTTTCTAAAAATTACCTATTTATTTTTAACAAATAACATGGATGCTAAAAGTGAAAAGACATTTCTTTGAGATGCTATAAAAATTAGGAGCTCAAGTATATAACGTATGAAATTTATAATAATAATGTGTTAACATATAAGATTCCAGTCTTTTAATATTTGCAATATTATTTCCTTTGGTTACTTGATTGTCACATACAGCACTGGAGGGGAAAAAAGCACCAACTTCTTCCATCAAATATTAAGCACAAAAGGTAGCAGTAAGATAGCCTGCAGATCAAATCTAAACAATC